GGGCAAAATCATTATTAAGAATGTGCGTGAACATTCTTCAAGACTGGAAACGATAGATTGCATGAGCTATAATTCAGTTGCTTGGATAAACTGTTTTATAAGTTTATATCTGCAAGGGCAATGGTACATATATGGAAGTCACTAGTGGCTGACTCGAAGAAAACCATTGATGAAAACTTAGACCTCATTATTGAAGATTTACTAGTTCAATGTGGATCCAGGCTTTGGCGGTCACGTGAGGCATCATGTCTTGCCCTTGCAGATATTATTCAAGGACAGAAGTCTTGTGAGGTTGGAAAGCATTTAAAAAGATTATGGTCAGGAGCATTTCATGCCATGGATGACATAAAGGAAACTGTCAGAATTTCTGGCGAAAAGCTATGACGTTCTGTAACATCATTGACAACAAGACTTTGTAACTGATATGTCAGATGCGCATAAAGCAATGGATATTGTTTTACCTTTTTTTCAAAGTTGACAGTGTTGGGAAGGCCTCAATTGGAATTGTTATGAAGCTTACCAAAGCATGTTGGAACTGCAATCCGTCCCCATTTGTCTGAAGACCAAGGGCTCAATTACGTTGAGCTTCACGCAGCAAACGTTGGAATTAAGGACTTGCAAAGCACCAAAATAGAGTTAAGGACTGCAACCGGTATTTCGAATGTCATTGCTAGAAACAAAACACTCCACTCAACCCCGTCAAGAGAAGTGGATGAAATCATTAAGGCTGAGAAGTAACTCCAAATAGCAAGCAAAGCATAGTCAAGTTGATTAAGAAAAAACATGAAAATAGCCAAATAGATTAGGACTTAACTTCAACACAAGCAGACAAGCAACCTTCATCATTTTCTTTCAAAAGAGACATTAATACAGACACTTAGAGAACGAGCTCACCGGGTGAGGAATTAACAGCACTAGACTGGCGGAGTTAGTTTTTGTTGAACCCGCTACTTGGTTTGCAGCTTCTTTCTTCTACACAAAATCAAAACTGTCGAAGCACAAGATGGAGGTGCACTCCCCTTTCAAACTGGAACATACTTGGCTAGGAACCAAATCCAGACTTCAATGACGAGATTGAATGGTATGACGCAAATTTACCTATTGCGTGTGGAAGGTACAGACTCGGAACTATCTGAAAAGAATGCAGAATATCAATTTGAGTTTGTCGAAGTCCTTTCCGATTTTGATGAGAAAGATGGTGTTAAAGTTACTTATCTGAGCAAAGTGAAAGGGTTTGTTCGTCTATTTCAGCAAACTGTGCAAAATGGAGTCAGATTTCCCCAGGAATCATCCCAGTGCTAAGTTGATCAGGCAAAGTGTAACGAGAGTATTCCCAAAGCAATTGTGAGAAAGTGGTAGTCCTGAAAGAGTTCCACCTATCAATAAAAACCGCCAAGGTCAAAAAGCAGAAAATATGGGCAATGATCATACAAGTACTATTCAACATAGGGCTAGAGAACACAAGAAGAACAACCTGAGCTGAAGCCCAAAGAAGTCATGTGTGATTCTACTTCTTGATACCGTGAAGTGCACATAACTTGTCACCGAGATAATCAATAAGCTGGAAATGTGGTCGAATGCGGTGTTCCAACATGAACGTGATTTGAAGCATTGTACAGCTGAGGATGGTTTGCATCCGTTGGTATCCTCAGACGAACCTATCCACTCCGCTACCGTATTTGCTTCGGGCTGTCCATCTACTGGCCCAACAACTCGTTTGTTATCCACACCTGCCAAGAAACGCAAAATCAAAATCAGCAAATCATCTAAAGAATATGCCATTGGAATATCCATATTATTGCAATTGACACACAAAATCAGAATTTAGGATTTCAATTAATACCATATTATTACAATCAACGAGAAAGGAAAGTTTCAATTTGATTGTCCCCAATATGGAAAAGCCCAAATCAGCATTCAATTGATTTTAATCAGGAAATCCCAAATTGAAGCCTATAAAAGAAAGGTTTGAGAAGAAAAAATTGGCAACCACCACAAGAGAAACCCTAAAGTTTCATAACCTAAAAAGTGAAGGAGAAGACTTACTCGTTCCAAACTTCGAAGAAAGCCGTTGACGCCGGCGCCGTTCCGACCCTCGCTGCCTCGAATCCGCCACCATCGCCACCGAACTCTCGTAATATCTGGGTAAAATTAGTTGTCTAGATCCGATTGATGTGTGTTGTGTTTATTGGTCTACATGTCCATCATTGAAAAACGAAAGAGGAAACGGAAACAATCGTCGGAGAGAGTTGACGAGAAGATGGAGAGGGAACCGGCGATTTGGGCGAAGGGGATTGGGATTAGGGTTCTTTGCTTCTGCTTTTTTTCTTTTTCTCGCCATTTCATTTGTTTTGTTATTACCCTATGATTACACACACACACTCCACTAATCACACACGAACAACCACTAATCCACTATTAACAGTAATAAACCTAATTAATCTTATAATCATTTTAATATTTAATATAATTAATCTAATAACTACCCAGTTTACACCATTAGTACTAATTAATCATTAATTAACCTTTTTATAGACCAACCATTTTATTTAATCAAAACACCATTTTAATTAATTAACTTGTTGATTTGCTATTTATTAAATCATTTTTTTAATTAATTTATCTCATCAATTTAATAATCTTTTTATATAATAGTATAAATTATTCATATTCTCATAAACACCATTTTATAATTCAATTGTAATCAACCTTTATCTTTAATAATGATAATGTCTAAAAACTTTTTTAATAAATCCCATTTATCTAAAAATCAATCCATATCCAAAAATCTTTTTGCTAATAAAATTAAATTGACTCCTTTTAAGATCAACTCCATCCATCTAACTTTTCATTAAAACCAACAAACAACCTTTTATAAAAGTTAATCTCCTTATAAAAAAATAATAATCAAATTCTCACTAAAATAAACTCAACATTCCTCCAAAAAGCAAATCATCCCCCTTAAAATCAATCCAACTCTTTCCTAAAAAAGCAATTTCACCTTAGGAACAACTCAAAATCAATATCACTAAAACCTATCCAACTTCTTCCTAATCAATCACCGTAAAAATTAATCAATATCGCGAATTAACCAATCTAATCGTGCACATCTCACGACACATTCACTCTCACACACTTCAGCGCTTTCATGCGTATGTGTATGTTTACTCATTTGCCCTTTACTTTTCCGCAATTTATTTTACGAGCAATTTTCATTATCGCAATTTATATCATCGCCCCGCATTCCGTCCAAAGGAAGAACTTGCACATAATATAAACAATTGTGCGTATGCATCATTTGCATCATACTCCCCTATGATCCTTGATCCCATTCAAGTCGATCTTCTAAGTTAGATCCTACCCCATAGGAAGGACCTTTTCTTTACAACTTAGACAAACACATTCAATCAACTCAATACAATATTCAAACACATTAGAGAATAAGATGTTAATCATCTTAAGCGAGATAGAATCTCCACCCCACAACAAATACAATCTCTTACACTTGTGGCGGTTAAATCTCCCTTAAAATGATAACTCATCTTTTCTCCTAAAATCAATCAATCAACTACCCTAAACTCGTAGGAACTTTGACCACAATCAAAGAACTCCTCAAACCCTTTAGGGGAACTACAGATACTCTGATTCCACTCCCGTAAGGATATGTAGGCATAAGATGCGACATCTTATCGAGTATACTTAGAAATAAATCATTAGAGTTCTTTAACCTTTAAGCAGATAAACACTTAGCAATAAACAATATAAAACAAGAGGTTCCTGTAGAGTACTACAGAAACTTAGGATGCTAGCACCTTCCCTAAGTTTAACCGACCTCCGAACCTAAAACTCTCTAGCTTGCATTTGCATTGCATTGTGGGAATTTCGATCTTTATCCATTCCTTTGGACAAATCAAATTTCGGTTGCAAAATGAATTAAAGATTCAAACTAATCAATAGTTTGGTATCCGATTTTCACCGCGACAACTATGGCTAACCAGCTTGTGCAGGTGTATTAATGTGGGGATGACGCGCATAATCCAATCCTTCCGAACAGGGTCATTTGGTCCTTATTCAAGTTGATCCTAAGACTGAGAGTTCTTTTCAAAATAACCAATAGGAACGATGGAAGACGGAATATATGGAAATACTTGACAAGCTTGATCAACATTTATAGAATATCATCACCCACTCAAGACTTCTTAATTGGTTACAACAACGTCTTTGTTTTTCCAACACAAAGGCATTGCAAATTATTGGAGATAAGAGTCTTTTTTTATATATATTTTAAACCACCGGATAATTAACGGCTTGTATTAGTATATAAAAGTGGTGGATAATATCATATAACTTTAAGCTTGGTGATAATGATCACAACTTGGTCATGTAGCAGTTTTGCAGAATTTTAAGCCACCAATACAACTAAAAGAGTCTTTATTTTGGACTTGGATGCAAGACCACTAATTACTTGGAAAGAACTTTTTAAGATATGCTCTGCAAAGAAGGTGACATCAATTTACTGTGGGCGGAAACTTGATTCAAATTTTCAAATCATTAGGAATCTAATGATGCAACTGCATTACATAAGGTTACACAAAAATTACATTACACCAAGCCATAAAGTTACAAGAATGTAGTTGTAGATACATGCTCGGGAAAAGAAATTTGTTTATATCATAAACTACATTGAGGTCCCATTTATATTGCCCACGGTGATTACACATGTGTTGATATTAAAGAAATAACAAAGTAGTTATGGTGACCCTTCAGCAGATTCCTCCTTTGACCTTTTGAGGAGTTTGCTTGCTAACAGACTTGATTACCGCTGCCAATACTGAGAAATTCCTCGTCCCTCGCATCAGTAGCATCATCATTTGAGCTTCCCACCTAGCCGGCGCACATTCGCATGTCCTAAAAAAGAACTGCCCACACCAGAGTTGTCAAACCTGCAAGTCCAAGAAGAAGACAATTAAAGGGAGTACAAGGTTCAAAGTTCATTCAGTTTACAAGTTCAAAGGATCCAAGAAGCCCGTGCGGTTCCACCATGAACAGACTTTCCCAAGTGTGGCATGTGGCGGATGCCCTTCCTGAAAAGAGAGACACATAACGAAAAAGAAGTCATTTGAAATGAAAGTTAATTGCAAAAGTTGTCTCGTATTAATAGGATAAGTGTAAGTTGAGAGACCATCAAGAATTCTGTCGGCAAAGATCTGTGAAGCTGCCTCTGTAGGATGGTATTGATCCCGGAAAACTTGGTCTTGACTAGTGGGACAAGGCTTTGACACCGGCAGGCTAGGAGCCCTGGCATTCAACTCTCCAAGTCCCCACAAGCTGCATTCACATCTGTAAATCCTGAAATGGGTGCATAAGTTCCTTTTAGTATCAAATGTCACAACAACAGGTTATTATATGAACTAGGGCAATCATCTACCATGTTATGACGCGTGTCATGGTGAATTAGTAATGTTTAAGGCTAATAATATGAAGAAAAACAGAAATCTCACAGAGATATTTGAGAGTAACTATAGTAACACCACGGACAATTGGAGGTCACTCATTGCAGCATAAGCGTCGAAATAGGAGTAAATCATGCCTTCATTCTCTGATTGCCATTCTTTCAACATGAATTGAAGGCCTTTGTTATATTGAACTGATCAGCATTTGGTTCCAACAACACATTCCGTTTGGTTCTTCAGTTTGAAGGCGGGGTAGCATCCAATCATCCCAACTCCCGCAACCGTAAACTTGTGCCCACCATTATCATATATCGCTGCAAAATATTTATTACTATCCTCTAAGCATATAGTGTACAGTATAATTGCGCAATTATATCTTGTGTTACCCGCAATCGCGGTTTTAGGGAGAAAGCATGGAATCAACATACTATTGTGGAGTATTCTTCTTACGAAGTTCCGATGACCAAATTATCCTAAGACACCATTGCTTCTAATCACCACAACAAAATTGACTTTGAGAGATGCTTCCGTAAAGAACTTGTTACCACTTCTCTTGTCAGTTCCTCATACACATTTGAATAAGGCTCTACTTGTTTTCCCAAAGGCATCTCCTACCAGCCTATAACCTGCACAATAAAAAGTGGCATCATCAAACGTGCCCACAACAATGACAACAACTTCTACAGCCAAATTAATTATTTACCTCAGTAGTCTGCTCTCCAACTACTTGACAGCAATTCATGTTTTCCAATAGCAGCCTTGACTTCTAAACCACCTGCAAGTAACCAATCAGTCAATAATCACCCTCTGTTTACAACAGCTCCCAAGTTCCTTCGCATCAAATTATGAAGATATGAAAACCTACTTATTTCTACCGATAATTCGGAAGGTTACCCTGTAGATCATCCTTCTCTCTTTTGAAAAACACCAATGTTCGAGTTCATCTTCAGGCATATACGATGTTAGGCCATCTGGAAGTATCTCTGATAAATCATCATCTGCAGCAGGTTATGGCTAAAATCGAAATAGCTGCCCAAAATCAAAACAGATAGGAGAGGATAAGTCAAAAATGGAAAGTTTTACTTCTTCCCATAACAGTCCTAACATGTCTGTCTCAGAAGGGAAGCAATTCAATGAGAATCAAAGCAGATACGAAACATGGTTGGAACGAAAGCGGAAACGAATTCAATTTCATCAGGAAGGAATCAAGAGCAATCAAAACACAATCAAAGACATGTTCAAGATAATATCATATTCTTTCCAAAACATACACAAACATGTCCGAGTAAAATTGGAAAACACTTCAAGTCACGTATCTTCTTTCAAAAAAAGATTCAACAGGATAATCTCAATCCTTAAATTCAGAATCAGGAACCTTCTACTCAGGGGACTATAAATTGGAAAGAGAATAGTGTCGTGGTGAAATTTGGATACCAAACTATTGATTAGTTTGAATCTTTAATTCATTTGCAACCGGTCTTTGATTCTTCCAAAGGAAGGGATAAAGATCGAAATTCCCACAATGCAATGCAAATGCAAGGTTTAAAGAGTTTTAGGTTCGGGGGTTGGTTAAACTTAGGGAAGGTACTAGCATCCTAAGTTTCTGTAGTACTCTACAGGAACCTCTTGTTTTATGCTTGTTTATTGCTATGTGTTTATCTGCTTAAGGTAATGTTAAGGGTTAAAAGTAAAGAGGAGGACCTAAAGGGTTAGTCCTAAGTATACTCGCCAAGACGTCGCATCTTGTGCCTACATATCCTGACGGGAATGGAATCAGAGTATCTGTAGTTCCCCTAAAGGGTTTGAGGAATCATTGACTGTGAGTCAAAGTTCCAAAGGGGAATAAGCGTTCATGTGGAAACGCTTACTTGGAGTGCGAAGACTCCTATCTACGTTAAAAGTTAAACTGAAAAGGATGAAGGTATGTCCACGACGGGACGCCTAAAAGGTGTGTACGGGGACTCAAATCCTAAGGCTATGATAAATGGAGAATGTCCACGGAGGGACGCCTAAAAGGTGAGTACGGGAACTCGAATCCTAAGGCTAGGGTGAGGGTAAAGACATTGACACGGGGGTCGAACATGTGAACCTTTCCTTTGGAGGGGAATATCAATAAAGTGGTGATAGCGGAATTGGTAATGTAAAGTGATGATAATTGATAATGTAAGGATATGATTGCAACGAGAACATGATTAAGCAATGGAGTTGTAATTGGTTAGAAACTTAAGGTTAATTATTTTGTTTGCATTTTTTATTAAGTGAACAAATAGGCAAATGTTAGAATATAAATTTTTTTGGAATGTTATATGAATAAAGAAAGGATCTAAAATATAATTAAATAAAAAAAAAAAGCTAGACTAAATTAATCCTAAAAGAGTTAATTATTTATTTTTTAGAATTTTATGAAGTTTGAAAAGCTAAAATTAATTATTTTTAAGGTTTTTTTATGAGAATATTACTAAGCAATTTTTATTTTTAATTATTGAAAGAAAAATTTGAATTAAAACTAAACTAATGTTTTTTGTTTTGTTATTTAAAAATTCATTTTTTTTAATTATTTAATATTTTTTTATTTTTATTATTTTTATTAAGATTTAGAAAAATAGACATGAATTACTAACAAAAGTTATTTTTAATAATTGAATTAAAATGAAAAGAGGAAATATACTAAATGATTTTTTATTTTATTTATTTTTAGTAGAGAAAATATCTTAGTTAACTAAAAACTCTAAAGAATTAAAATAAACTAAATCAATTAAATTATTATTATTTTTTAAATTTTAAATAAATATTTATTTTTAGGATTTTTAATAAAAAAAACAAGTTGAAATATAAGCTGAGCGTATTTTTTCCATTATGTAAACTAAAATTAATTTAAAATCAAACAAGCTTATGAGTTCAACATTCAACATTATTATAAAAAAACTAATCTAGAAAATAAAAATTAACTCTTTTGTTATTTTCATATATTTAGTAATAATAAAAAACAATTATTAATTTTATTAAACCCCAACTTTTAATTTAAATTAAATATTATTTTTTTTGTTAGTATGGTTAGTGTTGTTAGTAGTTAGTAATTTTATTAATTATTAATCAAAAATTACAAAATACATCAAAAATAAAATAAACAATAACATTAAAATTAAAAAAAATAAAATAAAATGGGTCGGGCCGGGTGATCAGGCCCCGTACCCGACCTGGTCGATGCAAGTGAGGAGGAAGGGACAATCGAAGCCCTAAATCCCCAATTTCCTCCGCGGCGCCAAGTTCTTCTTCCATATCTCTCTCAATTCCTCTTCTTTCCTTCTCATCTCATGATTTCCTTTCCTAACCTGTTAAACACAACAAAACCAACAAACCAATATTAATAGCCAACAAGAGCTTTACCAAAATGGGGTTCAAGGCGACGGTGGCGATGGCGATTTGTGTCGGAGTTTCACTGAAGGGATCCGGCGATGGATTTCAAAGGTGGATTCACGGTGCCGTCTGGGACTTCAAGATGGGTTCGCGGTGGAGGTGACGAAAAACCACAGATAAGCTTCTTGTTTCTCTTGTTCTTCGTGTTCTTTTGGAGATGTTTTTTTTTTTGTCGTTGTGTGTTGTGAATCTGTGTATCTGTGTGTGGTGTGTGATTTTTTTTTCGTTTTTGTCCTCCCTGTCGTCTCTGCTTTTATAGGCTCAAGAGGATCAAAAAAATTGATTTGAAATGAATGCTTTGGATTTGTGGAAGCTATTTTTGGAAAGATATAACTGCCACGAGGAAAATCTTCCCATATCAGTGTGAGCATGTTTATCCTGCTTTAGAAACCAATTTAAGACCTTTCAGCTTTAATTTGGGAAGTTAATTGTTGTCTGATTGTGTAATTACTGGCTGCTTGCTCTTTCTATCATGGAATTGATTTCAACAAAATCTATTGCAGGTTTAAAAGCTTGGTGACGAAAATGCACATGGCTCCAACTACCTGGTAGGGATTTGCCTTGGTTTTGAGCATTCATCGGTAAATTGGTAGGGAAGCACTGCTGATAGCAATTATGTTATTCTTGTTTTCAGGGTGAGGCGACCTTGGTGTTTAATTGGAGATTTTAACAATGTTTTATGTGCTATGGATAGGTTAGGAGGAAACATGGCTCAAGAGAAGGAGTATGAGGACTTGATCAATATGATGGACAATGTTAAGTTAAGTGCTATGGAGAATACAGGTGACTATTTTACTTGGTCAAATAAGCGTGCTGAGGGTATCATATACTTTAGAATTGACCACTTATTAGTCAATGTAGAATGGTTCCAAGCTTATATACATGCCAATCTTAATACTCTGGTGCTTGGGATTTCTGATCATGCATTGCTTCATTTGGATTGTCATGATCAGACCAAAACTAGAAGAAAGTATGCCTTTAAATTCCTGATTAGTGCTACAGAGATTGATGGATACCACACTGTTTACAAGAATTGGAACCTCCCTATTGCTGGCAATCCAATGCAAATTCTTTGGAAGAAGCTAATGAGAATGCAGCCTATCATAAGAGCTTTGAGTAAACCTATTGTAGGAGTGACTAATACTTTGTAGAAGGCTAGATCAGACTTGATACAGGCTCGGGAAAGACTTGTTCAGGATAGACTAAATACTGTGCTTATCAATGAGGTTAAAACCAGAACTGATGAGGTCTGCAAATGGAGTGAGATTGAGGAACAAACATTAAAACAAAGACCAAAGATTAATTGGTTAAGATTAGAGGATGGTAACAACAAATTCTTTTATGCTCAACTTAAAGTTACCCATGTGAGTACTGCTATAACTTCCCTGTACAAATTTGATGGAACCATCATAAATATTTAGTAGGATATAGCAAATGAGGTTTTGATTCTGTATGGAAATCTTATGGGCAGGGCTAATGAGAACTTAAAGGGCATTGATATTGTAGCTATGAGAGAGGGCCCCCAGCTGAATTGTGATCAAAGGAAGATGTTGATCTCCCCTATTACTGAGCAGGAAGTTGTTAAGGTCTTGTCCTTAAACATGTCACTCTGTTCTTCCTTATGTAGGTACGAAAATGCGGGATGCTTTGAGCAACATCTGTGGGTAACAATTGTCCCTGCTCATGCTTGTTTTTTAATGATGCTGGTTGAATGACTTTTTCTTCTTTGCTGCAGAACCGGATGTGAATGG